AAGAAAATTCCTGAACTGAAGAGGGGAAACAATCTTTATTTCAACTGAATAAAGATACAATGGCTATTTAGGAATTTCATGGGAAAGGAAAATGAAGAAATCTTAGTAATTAAGAAACAGAGCTAGAGTTGGAAGAGACTTCATTGTACCAGAGGCCTAAATTAATAAAATCAAATCTATTGTCAAATGCAAAGATCAGAGGTAGCACGAGAATAAAATAGTCTCCAGCTTTTCAGTGTATTCAGTTCAGTTCGGTTACTGCTGATAGGAGGTGGCTCATCTGTCCTGTGATGTCTTACAATACCACAGTGATTCACAGGACTGCACTATTACAGTCTTCTCCCTTGTTTCTAGGAACAAGCACACCCTCTCACCAATGAAGGAAAAGACGAGTTCCTCCCTTCCCGATCTTCTCCCCTCGCAGGGTGCTGCGGCAGCTCTCTGCCATGGGCAGGGCAGGGAGAGCTGGGGGTGAGGAGCGATATGAAGGACGCGTCCAGCAATTTCTGCTGTGCTGTCCTGTCGTAGGACACTTAGCAATGCTAGCCTTTAACAAGCATGAGTCAAGAGACACTGAGGCTGACTTTAAACTAGTTAGCACTAAACTGATGTTAATTCAGCTGCTATTTGCTATTCAGCCTGAGCAACACAGAACTTGGCGTGTGTTGGCTTGCCACACTATGGATAGAAGAAGAATTAAACCCCCATTGCTTAACAAGCCATAAAATTCCTCTGATCTTCCTATGGCAGACAATTTTGTCCAGAATAAACAACACTTCATATGTAAGTCTTAAGGAGTCTGATCTTCCTGCACAGATTTTGAAACTCATATACGGTTCATTTTTAAGAACCTAAGTAAATGAAAATTATTCTTACCTTTACCAATTTTGTAAAGGCCAACAGATATCACCAAGATAAGAGCCATAACTTTTGCATATGTGAAAACATCTTGTACACGGGTTCCCCACTTGACATTAACACAATTAATAAATGTTAAGGAACCTGCAGAGAAAAAGAACGTGTATGAGAGGAGCACTGTATGTTTTATTTAAAGCATATTTCAAATCCATCCTTCCAGATACCACCCTTCTTTCAAGCAATAAAATAGAATCAAATTTCACCATTTCAGGACCACCTAGATTTATCAAAATGAATGAAATACCTAGTTTAAAATTTACACAATGATTTTCTGAAGGATACTGTTTTCATGACAGTAGGTAACACAAAACACATCAGCTTTTGAATTTTAGGACTAACTCCTGCTCCTTTTAAATAATCTTTAAATTTTATTAAAGTCAACAGAATTGCTCACATGCAGAAGGTGAGATTTCTTCATATCTTTTATTTGAATTGGAGTTTTTCCTGAAGTTCTCCATGCTGATTCAAACTCTAGTCTACGTATAGAGTAAGGACAGCTTCTGCACCAAAAGGTTTGGATGCTGTGGACAAGATACTGAATTGAGCCAGCCCAGCATGCTGTTATTCCATGCCCATGGCTTAGAAGCTGTGTCATTCACGCTTTGACCCTGAGTCTGAAGATTACAGAAGTAGTCACTTACAGAGTTTTCTCAAGCCTCAATTTTGACAGAATCTCATAGAAATAACAAAGTAATTGGTTGCAGAGAGTGGGTGGGATCAACTTGTTCTCCTTTCCTCCTTCTGCCATATTCTTTGCATTCAGTTTTGTCACAGAAGTTAAGCCCTGATGAGCAGATAAAGCACTGTGACAAGTGCTGCTGCTTGGCCGGCAGCAGGTCCAGCCAGGGGCCAAGCTGTGTGCCCACCTCCTCTCACTCTAGCACACATACACGGCATCATGGGCAACTTGTCTCTCTTGCAACTCCGTAATTCAAAACAGAGATAGATGAGGAAAGGTAGGGGTATGCATTGGTACCATACTGGGTCTCCAGCCCAGCTGCTGGAGAAGAGAGCAGGACAAATGCAGCATGGGTGGTCCAGAGTGCTCTCAGTCATGGATCAGAATGGGCTATTCCTTCTCTAGCAGTCTTGTTGGTCTTTGCTTCTGTTTCTTTGACCTGCCTATAATCTATACTTCAATTTTGAAAGGAAGAAAAAGGGTTTTGTAATGCTTAAAATGAAAAACATTTAGAAACCTTTCTATATAGTAAGGAAATTAGCATCCAACCACAGATGCTCAAAGAACTTCTTGCCTTCATTTTCACGAGTGACTCTGCATATTTGACAGAGCGTCCTGTCAGTTGTCAAGGCAATAATAGACCTATTTACAGAAGCGGGACCTGATTTGCCCCATTATTTCCTATTAATATACCAATATTGTGCAATGGGGACAGAATTTTGTTTTTATTCTGGTATTAAAAAAACCCAATAGGTTATATAATGATTGTTTATGCCTAGTGTCAGGTTTGAGTATAATTTTAAACATGTCTGTAAATAATGACTTCTGTAAACCTTGCTCTAGTAAAGGAAGGAGGGGCGGTGGGGTTGCCCTTTACATCAAGAAATGGATAGCTTGAAGAGCTGCCTCTGAAGAATAGCCAAGAGCAGGTTGAAAGCTTATGGGTAAGAATTAGAGACCAAGGCAACAAAGGGAACTTTGTGGTTGGTGTCTACTACAGGCTGACCGATCAAGGGGAGCCTATTGACAAAGCCTTCTTACTCCAGCCACAGGAGGCATCGCGTGTGCAGGCTCTCGTCCTCCTGGGGGACTTCAACCACCCCGACATCTCCTGGAAAAGTAGCACAGTGAGCTGTAGGCAATCCAGGAGACTCCTGGAGTGCATCGAGGATAACTTCTTAGGCCAGGTAATAGACAGGCCTACCAGAGGGGATGCAGTACTGGTCACCAACACAAGTGAGCTCATCTGTGATGTCAAGATTGGAGGCAGCCTGGACTGCAGTGATCATGCATTGATGGAGTTCGCAGTCCTGAGGGATATGGGTCAGGCAAAGAGTAAAGTCAGGACCCTGAATTTTAGTAAAGCAAAATTCCAGCTTTTCAAGGAATTAGTGAATAGGACCCCCTGGGAAACTGCCCTCAGGGACAAGGGAGCAGAACAGAGCTGGCAGATCTTTAAGGACACCTTCCATAGAGCGCAAGAGCTCTCAATCTCCAGGTGTAAGAAATCAGGAAAAGAAGGCGAGAGACCGGCATGGCTGAGTCGAGACCTGCTGGTCAAACTAAAGGGCAAGAAGGAAATGCACAGGCAGTGGAAGCAGGGACAGGTATCCTGGGAAGAGTATAGGGA